CCTGCGCGTCCAGCACGCTGAGGGCCGCCGCGTAGGCCGCGTCCCGCGCAGACTCCGGGCACAGCTTCTCCTCGGCCAGGAGGTGATACAAGCGAGCCACGGCCCACGACACATCTGGGGTCTCCTCCGTGGCCCGGATGCCGTCCACGCTGACCCACACGCCAGCCACCCGCCGGGCAGCCGCCTCGTCCCCACCCAGCGCCAGCGCCACCATGGCGCGCAGGAGCTCGGCCTCCGGGCCGCCGGGTGTCCTCAGCTTCTGCTGCAGGCTGGCCAGCTTGTCCGGGCTGGCAGTTTCCAGAACCCGCAGGACACTGGCGAGGGATGGGCCCGGGCTGGACATGGGTGAGGGAGGAAGCCACAGCACGCAGCCGGGACGGGTGGAGGCATGATCCACGCCCCGCCTTCTGCCCGCTTCGGAGAGGGCGACTGGAGCAAGTGCACCTGCGGGGACAGGAGGGGACACGCTGACCTTCCCAGGGTCTCTGCCTGCCCTCCCGGGCCTTGGACAAACCAGTGTGTCACCTCCCCCACCTCCCATGGTGGTGTACAGGCGAAGCTCAGAGACATACAGTCACTTCCCCCAAGTCACACAGTGGAGGAGTGACAGAGCCGGGATTGGAACTCAAGTCACTGGGCTCCAGGGCCTCCGGGGCTGAGCCACAAGGCCGAAGTCCTGAAGAACACAGAAGCCCTGCCCATCTATGGCCTGGTTATAAAGAACTAAATGGTAGAAAGTTCTAAGCCTGAGTAGGGTGGCTCATGTCTGTAAAAATCCCAGCTACTCATGAGGGTGAGATCTGAGGATTCCAGTTCAAGGCCAGCCCAGGCAGCAAAGTCTGTGAGACTCCTATCTTATCTCCAATAAACCACCAGAAAACTGGAAGTGGTGCTGTGGCTCAAATGGTAGAGCGCTCGCCTTGAGCTGAAGAGCTGAGGGACAGCGCCCAGGCCCAGAGTTCAAGACCTACAACCTCCAAAATCATCATTATCATCTCAGGGGCTCTCCACTGCCACCCTTAGTCCCCAACTCTGCCTGTCTCCCCCTCCCCCGTCCCCCCACCCAGCCAACCTTCCCCCAAACACACAGTAGTAATCTTGTCCAGTGGACTTTTCTTGTGAGTTACATCTTTCCTTTTGAGTTGATTTTATATCTGTCTGCTAGTACTAGAGCTTGGGCTCTAGGGTAATGCACTCTTGTTTTGCTTTCTTGCTCATGGCAGGCATTCTACCACTTGAATTATGCCTCCAGCCTGGCTTTTTCCTAATGAACCAATTGGACACAGGGCTACATGGGCTTTTCCTACCCAGATCTAATGCTCAGATCTCAGCTTCCTGAGTAGCTAGGATTACAGGCCCCCCAAAAAACTATGATCTTGCCCATCTCTGCCTCCCAAGTAGCTAGGATTACAGGTGTGAACACCAGAGCCTGGTCCGTATTCTCTGCTTTCCCACCAGTCGGTGAGGGACAGAGCAGAGGTGAGGCCCCTCTCTGACTGAACTGGGTACTTGGGCGCAGAATACTCCAGTCCCATCAAAACTATTTGTTGCTAGGCACTGGTGGCTCACATTTGTAGTCCCAGCCACTGAAGAGGTTGAGGTCAGAGGAAATATATCAGACTCTTATCTCCAATGAGCCACCAAAAAGCCAGAAGTGGAGCTTGTGGCTCAAGGAGTAGAGAGCCAGCTTGGAACACAATAACTCAGTGATGGCGCCCAGGTCCTGAGTTCAAGACCCAGGATCAGCATCAAAGAAACCCCCCCCCCAAACAAAACACCTGAAACATACTAGTGGGGAGAGGAAGGGGGGAGGAAGGGAAGGACTAACTTGGACATCCAGTCCTTTGGGGAGTACCACCCAGCTCATCTCTGGGTTGCAACCGGATCAGAACTCCAGGATGTCTGGCTCCAGACTCCAGTGTCCTGTGGGCTCTGCCAGCCTTGAGTGAAAAAGCTAAAAGACAGAGCTCAGGCTCTGAGTTCAAGGCCCGAGACCAGCACAACAAACTAAATGGAAACCAACATTATTACACAACTACTAGCATTTCTTTTTTTTGCTTTTTTTGTCGGTCGTGGGTCCTGAACTCTGGGCCTGGGCGCTGTCCCTCAGCTCTTCAGCTCAAGGCGAGCGCTCTACCACTTGAGCCACAGCACCACTTCTGGTTTTCTGGTGGTTTATTAGAGATAAGAGTCTCACAGACTTTGCTGCCCGGGCTGGCTTGGAACTGCGATCCTCAGATCTCAGCCTCCTGAGTAGCTAGGATGACAGGCGTGAACTACCAGCGCCTGGCTCTCTTTTCTTTTTCTTAGCAAGTTTTCTGGGGGTTTAGCTCAGCGGAAGAGCGTCTGCCTGGCGAGTGCAAGGCCCTGAGTTCCGTCCTCAGTTCTGGGGAAAAAAAAAAAAGGAATTTTTCAGGGGCTGAAGGGGCAAGGTACTTGTCTGGCATGTTCACAGTCCTGAGTTCAAGCCTCATTACCACCGGAGGGCGGGGGGGGGAATCTTTCAGACCTGTCAGACCTGGCGTTACCCACAGCCTTGGCCCCTGGCTCCCAGCTCAGCACCCTCCCCACGTGGAGTGGGCATTTACTGAGCACCCACCGGGCTTGGTGAGCTGACGTGGTCCCCATGGGTATCTGAGCTGCTCTCAGCACAACAGGAACTGAGAAGAGAAAGTGCCAGAAGGAAGCAGCCTGGGCTGGGCTACAGAGCCTGGGGCACAGGGGGGAGGGGTGGCCATGGAGGCCTCCTGGGCAGGAGGTGACCCAAGCCCAGATCTCCCAGAGGCCAAGGAGCCAATTGGGGTGTCTGACTGTGCAAAGGTCCTGGGGCAGGATGGAGTGCGGCATGGGAGGGGCAGCAAGGCTTGTGGGGCAAGGGGCAGAGAGGGAGGAGGGCGGGCACAGGGCCCTGTGGGCTCAAGGAAAGTGGGAGCCATAAAGGGCTGTGCGAGGAGGAGGAGGAAGAGGAGGAGGAGGAGGAGGAGGAGGAGGAAGAGGAGGAGGAGGAGGAGGAGGAGGAGGAGGAGGAGATCTGGCTTCAGTGCTGCTCCCCCTCCCCAGCAGAATGGGGAGCTGAGAGAGAGCAGGGGTTCAGCCCTCCGGGGAAAGAGGCTGGATTAGTTAGGGGATAATTTGGAGACAAGCACTGGATTTGGTCCTGGGAACCTGAGATGGTATTGGAGTCAGGGGGGGGGGACCTGGTTTGGGGTCAAGACGGAGTCATCCTCCTAGGCCAGTCTTCTCCCAATGTCCTTTTTCTGCCTCTGCCCCTGGCTCCCTGGGTTCCAGCCACAGGGTGTCTCCCCCCCCCCACTCCTGGACACAGCTCCATGTGGCCCCAGGGCCTTTGCACAGCCTCCCCTCAGCCTGAACAGCATCCTTCCCCACACATGCCCAGCCAGACTTTTCTCTTTACAAATGCCACTTTTGACTTTCTCTCCCTGCTAAGGCCAGACAAGCAGCAAGTGTCACTCTGCATGGGAAACCTCAGGGCTGGGCCTGGCTGGGATGTAGTTTGATCTCCGCCATGGGCGTTATTTACTCTGCTGACGCGCACGCATCACCTGTGATTGAATGAGCACATGCCCATGGTCCTCCCCCTCTGCCCCCCTCCAACTACCCTGCGCCCTCATTAAGAACCGTTTACCCAGGCTCACACCTGTCATCCCTGCTACTCAGCCAGCCCGGGTAGGAAAGTCCATGAGACGCTGCTCTCCAATGAACCAGCAAAAAGCCAGAAGTAGAGCTGTGGTTCAAGTGGTAGAGGGGCTAGCCTTGGACAAAACAAAAGCTCAGAGTTCAGCCCCAGGATGGGCACAAAAAAACAAATAGAAGCAGGCATCCTGGCTCCACCGTATGCCCCCCCACCTGGGCGCGCACCCCCCAGGCCCCCCCAGCCCCCCCAGGCCCCAGCCCCCCAGCCCCCCCAGGCCCCCCCACCGCCGGGGCGTCTCAGTACCACCTCGAGATAAGTGGGTGCACCTCCCTCTTCCTTTCCTCTCACAAGTCCCCAGCCTGCCCGGCCCAGGCAGTGGGGTCCCCAGGAGGCTGGGGGGGCAGAGGGGGGTGGGGGGGCTGTGCTCCAATGGTGACCCCAGGACCACCCGCCCCCCAGCCTATGGGAAATGGGGAGGGGGGACCGCACCCCACTTGAGCAGGAGCGCCGGGGGGGAGATCGGGGTGCTGGGGGTGAAATCTGGGGTGCTGTTGGGGGAACCCAGGGGTTGGGAGATGGGGGGATCTGGGAGTAGACGTGTTGGTGGGGGGGAGATC